TTTTGGAAGAACACTTTCACTTCATTTGATCCAAGGTTCGAATCACAACAATCTCCACCTTGCTTCCAACAATTTTGGCAATTTTTGCAACCACGAGCTTCACCAGCAATTTATAATTTCAATGCAAAGTGTCAAGAGATAGTAACTTTAAATAGTTCTGAAACTTCTTTAAAGGTATCATTTTTGTTCCCATGTCAGAAGGATTAAGAGAAGTATAAACTTTATTAATCTTAATTAATCATCTTGAAATAACATCCCTTATAAAATGATATTTGATATCAATGTTTTTTGTCCCATCATGAAACATGGAGTTTTTACTCAAATATATTGCACTTTGATTATTAGAGAAAATAACAAGATTTATATCCATAAAACCAAGTTCTTTAAGAAGCCTAGTTAACCAAATACTCTGCTTCAGCTGAAGACAGAACAGTAATCTTTTGTAATTGGGTTTTTTTGGCTCGATTGGATTCTCTTAGGTTAAGTTGAGTTCGTACGTAGAACATTCTTAACATCCTTCAATTTTCTTCTGTACTTATGTTTTCCTTCAAATCTCTCAACGTATTTCCCATAGAATTAGCTATCTATAGCAGATGGAAAGAAATTTCCATGGATTTGTCTAGTTAAATTTGGTGGCATGCAGATCCAGAAGCTATTGAATTTGCGCGTGGACGTTAACTATGTCTGTAAGTGTAACTATTGATTGAGTGTATCATTTATTTTTATATGCAAAGCACCGTCTTGGGCAAAATGTATGCTATATGGTTAATTTTCTCAACTCATTCCCCACAGTCTTTGGTGCCTGTGTATACTTGGTAATTAATTGGCTGCACGTCTTTGGGGCAGAGAAGGTGTCATAGTTTTTACCTTGTGTCGTGGAAAACCTGTTGTAGGTGATGTCAAATTTACTATATATTTGTGGCTAGAGATGGCAATCGGGCTCGTCGGCTCGGGCCGCCCGTGAGCCAAAGCTCGAGCCGAGTCTCATTTTTAGGTGCCGGGCAAAGCTCGGCTCGGCCCGTATCGCTCGCCGGCTCGGAGCATATATATAAAAAAAAATTAAAATAATAATAATAAAAGGTAGGCAGCGTGCTGCTGCAGCAGGTTGCTGCCTTGTTTGGCAACAACCTGTCGCCATTTAGTTGCTGCCATTTTTGGCAGCTTATTTAAGCTGCCATTTAAGGTAGCAACCTGCTGCCATTTTATTTAAAAAAAAAAAATTCCAAAACCAAACAAAACCCGAGCTGGTCCAGCTCGGCTTAGAAAGGCCCAAGCCAAAAGCTCGGGTCGAGCATAATTTTTTTTGCTGAGCTTTTGCTCGGCTCGGCTCAGGCCTAGAAAAAAGCTTGGTTATTTTACCCGAGCCGAGCCCGAGCCTAGAATTTCGGTCGACATCCCTATTTGTGGCATGTGTGGTTTCCATCTATAAGTATCACTTTCCATCTCGTGCTTTTTGTTTTGGCTGCCACAATTACTCCTTTAGATATAGAGGTTGCATAGATCTTTTGCACTTCTTGTTTTGTAAAATATTTTTTTTATTCTTTTCCCGTCCCCTTTATCCGCCTTTTGTCTGCTTACATTTTTCAAGTTTATATGCTAGATCCTACCATATTTTGCTCAATGAGTATGAGAAAGGAGATTGAGAATGAGTTAGATGTGCTTATTTAATGTAGGAATGTCTACAAGTCAATTGGTGAAAAGCATGTCTTAAGAGGCGTGAGCTTCAAACTAAAATATCTTTGCTTTTGATTGTTCAATTTCTCACTTAAAGGTGTAACTTTTGCTTCGTTCCTTTGGAATTTGAAAGGAATTATTTTTGTTATTTATTTATTTATTTATTGCGTTAAAGATTTCTTGATTAAATGTTTTCCTTGTGTTTCTTCCTGATATCAAGTTTAATTCTCTAATAGTAGTTGTGCATTTATTTATTGATGTGTAGTTATGAAATGTGTACACTAAATTTAACATGTTCATTGTAGTTTTCATGGGGCCGTCTTCTTAAGGATGTCTCAAGGCTTGACAACAATGGCGCACAGAAGTCTAACAAGTCTCCAATTTTTACTTCTTAAAATGTGAATTAATGCTTATCTGTCTTCACATGATCAAGCGAAGAAATTAAATGAATTTATTTTGTTTCTGGCTGATTCTATTGTAGCCAAATGGAGAAGCAATACCTTTGGCTGCTGGATTTGTGTGTCAGGCATCAACGAGGGAAGATGCTGGCCTTGTGGTCGATATGATATGCCAAAAGAAGATGGGTAAATGTGCATTATTACTTGTTGGCCCTCTTGGTACTGGGAAAACTGCTTTCGCCCATGGAATATCCCAAGAAATTGGTAGCATGATTTTTTGGATATATTGTTTCTTATTTCTTGTCACCATTGTCTTTCTTCATTCTACCTCGATTTTTCTGCGTGGATAAATATTTTCTTTTATTGAATATATTAGCTTTGACTTTATTATTGATGCTTGGACTTTTTTAACTTTTTTGTTATGAAGGTTCCATTCTGCTCCAGCTGATGAAGTTAATTGTCTTACATTCTAACTTGGGATATAGGGAATACCAAATAGATTTAGAATTAAAAATTAAAGTTGAGGAGTCATAACGTTGAAAACCCATGAAAGTGGTAAATTGAATAATCGTATTGCTAAACCAACTCTGTCAGTCGTGGTTTACTTGATATATTGGCTTCTCAAAATCTCACTACTTTCTCGGTTTTTCTCCAAAATATTATAGTAGAGATTAAATGTGGAGATCTTTTCTCGGATATAATAGGTTTTGGGATATATCTTTTTTTGCCTTTTCTGTTCTTGTGCAGAACTTTTGTGTTTGGTACTTTTCTAGAAATTAGTTTTCGGACGATCTACACAATCTGCCTATTTAGCATAGATTCACACCCCATGCATCAATCGCATCCGGATTATTAATTTGAATCCCTTATTTCTTCCCTCGCTCAGGGCGGACCCACATGGGTCATGTTGGTCAAATGACCCTACAAAATTTTGCTCTTTTTCTTTGTTTTGTTTTTTACAATCTACTTTGATGCATTCGTCGGAATACCAAATGAAATCAAAATATTACATTCTTAATACCATTTCAAAGTGCTCATGACCTAATTTTTCACTCATTAATGGCATGCGAAGTGGTCAACTATAGCAAAAGTTATGACATGTTAAAGTAGGGCGTTTGAAACTAGTATTTTGAAAATTTTGATAATATCCTAACTTTAAAAATTCGTTTGCGATCATGTGCTATCTGAATCCACAAATCGTCTATGCCATGTAAAAGTTTGTTTCGAAAACTACATCGTTTTCATATCGAATGGTCCAAACAGATATCTAAAATAGTTAAATATGTATCAAACGTACGCTTCAAAAAAAACGTCTAACTCGTTTTTTGTTTTAAAAAATTCAATTAATTATTATTTTTGCACGATAAATTTTTCAATATAATTTATATCGTTTTATTCGGAAGTCTTACATGAAATATGATGTAAATTCTTTAGAATATAATTTATATCGTTTCATTCGGAAGTTTTACATGAAATATGACGTAAGTTTTTTAGGATCGTTACAGATTAAATATAATTTGAATTAATTTTGAATTATATTTGCTTTAAATTTGAATCTCATTTACTTCCTGAACTAAACTTGAATTTTATTTCAATTCATTTAATTTCTATATTTAATTTAATTTACTCAATGTTAGCTCAACATTTGTCAATGAAATGATAAACAAAAATATACAAGTAGCAAATTTTATTTAATAATATTAATAATGATGTAATTATACGACGTTTTCAAATTGTCAAAATACATATAAACTTATTTTCATTGATATTATATTGTTTATTTAAAAAATTATTTTTAAAATTTTGACCCCACAATACTAAAGGTCTACGTCCGCCCTTGCCCTCACTCATTGGCTGAGAAGCTCAAATGTAGCAAAATGAAGGTTGATGGAAAGAACTTGACATGGTTAGCTTATTGTCAGCTGGTTAGGTGTGGCATTTTCTGTTGCCTAGCAATTAGGACAATGAGGGTTTGGTGAATTTCAAAATTTCTTCTCGATTAATTGTACTGAATTTAGAGACGGCCTATATAGAACGGTTCTTATTTTGGTGCTCCCATTTGGTAAAATATTCATAACATCGTAATAAATTCCTTAGTAATATATAAAAAGAGTAACAAGCCCTCAGTAAGTGGGTAGTGCAAGTTATATCAGAATTTGATGTAATTGCAAAATTCATGATTTAATAGATGAGCTTTCGATCTTCTAGAAATTTATTCCTGTAGTACAATTTTTTTCTTCAGTTGAAATTTAGATGTCTGGCTTACGTGGATGATTAAGGTGAAATGCATTCTAAATTTATTTCCCTTATATTTCTATATCTAAAAAATTTGAGTGGTGTTAATCAACACGCAAATTCATCGTGGTTCAACAGGTAAAAGAGGGAAGCTATGATAACAAGGTGAACGAAATTGTAAACATTGTGACTGCAAAAGCTTCAAAGATCGGTTAGAAGACATGGGGACTGGTGAAAGGTGAAATGGCTTTGGCTTCACAGAAGTTTGAGGTGTACACTAAAGGCTATCACTGGAAGAATGATGGCTGGCAACAAAATGAAAACGAGAGAACTGGTTACCATTAGGATTTTGGACAGGAGTCTAAAGGGTGGATTTCTTCAGCTGGAGCACAATAATCATCTACTTATCAATTTAACTATGCCAGTTATGGTTCCTGGGATGATTGCAATAGCAAAGATAATAGGAAAGAAGATTCATCGAAGGAGACAACATTCCACAATTGTGATAGCTGGTTAGGCTGGGATGATGCTAAAGATGATGGGTACAATAATTTCTATGAAAATGCATCTGGTCAAAAGGCTGCAGGTTATAATGGAAAATCAGAAAGCAAGTGGACTAGGTGGTCAATTCTTCTCATTTTTCTTCTTCAAAGTTTATTTCCTCCCAATTGAACCTTGTAGAGAACTTGTTGATGTGTTAGCTTGCTGAAAATAGAATATAACTGTAAAATTTTCTATAGTGGGCTTGCAATATGCCCAAGGAAAATAAAGATTGTTTTGCTTAAAACATCTATTAAAAGAATTAATTATATTTCTTTTACTTTTACCTTGTCTCTATATATATACCTGTGGGTTGATAAATATTTACGCAAATAAAATTCATTGGTCCGATCTGCCAAAGTTTTGCATTCAACTTCTGCTAGAGGTATATTGTAATAACTTACTTTTCTTTCTTTTTAATAGAAATTTTTGTTGTTAATTAATGTCTGATTGAGGTTTTCATGTAGAAAACATTCAATTCTTTGATGTTCCTTTTTTCTTCGTTAAAGTTTAGGGTAGTGGTTTTACTATTAGATGGCTTTCTGCAGTCGTTTTTGTTAATTTCAAATTGGCTTTCTGAGGTTTCAATTTTTTGCAGTGATGAAAGCATTGAAAATGCCCTACGAGCATGTTTTATAGGTATTCAGATTGGTAAATTTCAAATTCATGGAGAAGGTGACAGCGGTCAGCAGGTTAGCAAGAAACCACTATTTTATTCCTATGTAATCTTGTTCTTGTTCTTGTTCTTTTTCCCTTTTTTCTGATTTTATTTCCTCCTCTTGTCACTAAAATGCCTCATTTGCTACTGATCTGGGAAAAAATGCCAAACGACATCTCAAATAGACATATATTGTTATTAGATCCTATCTTTAAGCTATCTTGAAAATAAGTTGAAAGGCTTCCCTGCTCCTACCTTGTTGTCCGAGCTATTGTTGAACTGCTCTAACATTCTTGGAAGTTGAAGCTTTACCCAAACACGCAATATCTTTCGGCTCATTTTAGTAGTTTATTACTGCAAAATTTTCTATTTTGCTTGTTGGGAAAGTAAAAGCAGAAGAAATCAGAGGTAGCATGTGAAACGTATAAGGGAAATTTAATCGAAAAACACTTTCTAAAAGTGTTCAGAATCTCAAGCTTAAGAGGTTTCTTTCCAAACCATAAAATGTTGAAATAATCAAGAAAGTAAATAACTAAAACTTCTAAGATAAAGAGTTTCTATTACCTCTTTCCATAGTGCATGACCAGTTACTTTTTTCCATGTTGATTTTTTCTCCATTGTTGGCAGTACTCCTATTTTTACTTGTGATGTAGAGGGAAAAGTAGTTTCGCATGCATTTAGGACACAGCCACAACTATCCTTGACTTTTCTTTTTATTCGTTTGTGTTCATTTCGAAAGAAATATAAAGAAGATATTATCTTTGAATCTTCACTTAAACACTTAGATTACTGGAAGCGGCTTAATGAAGGTTAACTGAATGCTAAAGTTTGGACCAGGTACCCGGATCATTATGCATTAATGGATTGAGTCCTATTTGTGTCGTTGTGATTGTATGGTTAGTTCTTGTTTTCATTTATCCTTAATTGATTATAGAGAAATGATATTATTTGTGTAGGTCTCACGAGGAGAGCAAAACACTATTCTATTTTAATGGAATCTTTGACAGTATTGCTTTTCTTTTACCTTACTACACATGGCCGGATGGTAACACTGGAATAACATGATCACCTCGTGAACTGGGGATTGAAACAGTTGGATCTTTTATTGTTGCAAAATATTTCATTTGAGCAAGTTTGATCTTCAAAATAGCTTGGTCTGAAAATGCACTAAATATTAGTCTGATTGCATTTTGCAATGCATCTGGGGGTCTCACAGTAGCTTAAAAATAATTTTATGATCAATTTCTTGCTTTTAGTACTTGAGACGCAGTGATGAATTTTTTTTACTCCGATTCTATTCTTTGAAAGTCTAATAGAGTAGATTCCAATCAATTAGTAATGATATAATATATTTTAGGACATGAAGATGCTGCCTTACAAACTCAACGAACCCTTGACTATTTAAAACTTTCGCTAGAATTTAATATTTAGCACAGCACACTGTGCAGATATGGTCTTGTGTTCCCAACTGTTAGTGACTTGGTAAAACTTCAATCTTCTTATCCTTTCGGTTTACATACTATCAAATCTAGAAAAAAAAAGGAACACTGCTATCATCAAATAATTAATGATATTGATGCCTCGACGTTTTTCTTGTAAGTCATGGTAAATGGGCTACTTTTTCCAGTTGTCTCTTCCACTCAACTTCTTTAGAGGTGTTTAACAGGAATCAGTACAAAGGTTGGTCAACATGAAGTCTTTGTTCCAATTACTAGAGGTATAATCTCATTTTCAGGATCCCCTTACATTCCAGTTTATAAGAGCTCAATCATCTTAAGATTAGCGTGCTTTATATATTCTCCTGAATTAGTGGCTTGAGCAGTAAGTAGATCAGTATGGTGAAATGTTCCATCAAACAGCTGTATGCTATTAGTATCAGTGGTGCTTCATCTTTAGAAATCTTCGGTTTGTCAAAGGAATGTACATTGATGAGAGAGGTTTATTTGGAAAAATGTGATTCTGTAGCATAGAGAAATAATTGTCAGTAGCATTTATCAAAAAAAGAAAAAAGAAAAAGAAAGAAATAATCTTCAGTAGCTGATGTATATCGCTTGTTTCATCCTTATGAATTGTAGATATTTGAGTTTATCCCAAAAAAATTAAAATAAAGTGATCATACTTAAATCGCTATACATTGCAAGACCCCATAGATAAAAAAAAATCTTATCAAATCACAGAATAAAGACAAGATGAAACCTGCTCTGATAATATCTACTAAGGAAACTTGGAAAGAGTATAGTTTTCTTTCACTCTTTTATTTTCTTCATGTTTCTTTATCTATTCAAGCGTGAAAATTTTATAGTATTCTTTTTTTTTTAACACTAAATGTATGTTTGCTATAATCGCACTGAGTAGGTGAGGGAAGAACTTAACAATCTTCTGGTCATTTTCAATTTTTTATTCTTCTGTTTTCCAGGGTGGAAAGAAAGCAGTGGTTGTGGAGGAGTGGGGAGGGGGAGAGGTAAGGAATGAGGATATTCACACATGTAAATATACACACTTGCACATTGGGCAAGACACACATAGAGCTGACAAACTAAAGTCCTCCTTTGATTTCTTCAAATGACTTTAAAGGACAAACCTTAAGTTGGATTGCTTTAAACAATCCTTTCAAAACTAAAAAGATAAAATTAAACAAAAATATCAAACAAAATAAAAAAAAAATCAAAAGATACTATCTGCTTTAATGATAACTATCCAAGAATGGTTATAGTTTTCTTTTTGCAGGGCAAAATATCTGTTTGCTTTAATGCGAGAAGTAAGTTATTGTAGAGGTTTGCAAACTTTCGAAACTTCACAATTTTTTATTTTCTCTTATCTCTTTTTGCTGGGGTTAGAAATTTCAAGGGTTGAAGAGAAAGAGGAGATGAGAAGAATGATATTAAAGCATACAGTCATGCAAATGCGCACACTTGTACACAGAGGGATAAGGGATAAGAGAGGAAAAGAGAGTCATTACAGTGAAATCTCTTTCTTGGATTTTGGTTGAAGACCTCCAATTACTTTACTTCTTGGAAATGCTTTTAAGGAACAAATCTTAGGTAGAATTAGTTTGATTAATACTTTTTCGGCTTAGAAGTTTGGAAGATATGATGTTTAAATTCTTATACAGGAGGTTTTGGAAGGCTAAAATTTTCGAATGAAAAGATTAAATTGTAAGTACTTAATAAGAAATTGATGGAAATGAGAAAAAGGTAAATGTAGAATCTAATGCAGGTTAGCGTATTAGATTTGTTGAGTGGTTTGCTAATGAAAAAAAAATGCATGACAAGAGTATCTCCAACTACCAAGACGATGTAAACCTTGTCAGCGGATTTCATAACCAAATGATAATGAACATGAACAGAGATAAAACTTCAGGCAAAATTCTTTTAATTTATGGATCACATGGCCTTTTGATTTCTTATTGAATTATGTATGGCTTCACAAAATCAAGAATTTTGTTTGTAATAAAATTGAATGTTACTTTTGATGGAAATGAAGAAGGAATGGAGAGCAACGATGGGTAATCATTGATGGATATAAGTACTCAGTAAAGCTCGTCAAGAAGATATCGTATGAGATTCATCAATTTCGGAGTGCACTTACCTGGTTTCACAAAGGTTTATAGTTAATGGAACGAAAAAGGTTGATTAGAGAAAATGAGAAGAAGCATCCCCTATAAGAGAGGAACAAGTACACAAAAAGGAGTAGAAAGTGTGGCAGTTGACTCTGGAGGTACTCCTTAGATAAACTAGCTTCAATGAGAAAAGAGTGGTTATAAGGAGTGCTTAATATCTTGCCTTTCTCTTTTCTCTCTTCAATTTTTTCTATCAGCATTATGGATTTAAGAAGTTAAATCGTCAAATCTATGTTGTGAAACTATGCACTTACACACATGACTTAGTGTTGAACTTTGTTTTCAACAGATGTGTGTGGTTGGGGAAAATGTAATTTGCAGCTGAGAAAATTTTTTAGTACACTAATTTGTTGCTACAAGTTACATATTGAAAGAATAGAGGGACACGGTCTTCTCAATTTTTGTACTTCTTATGATTCTGATCATTATGTGTTTTTGAACATCTTCAGGAGAAGGCTAATATTGGGAATGCATATGGTGCCAAGCCTTTGAAGTTAGATGGCAGTGGTGAAGAGTACCCAGGCGTTAGATATTAATCAAGAAATGAGTATTCCCTTTTATTACATTGTGTCATTTGAAATTTAACTGATTGTTGTGTAAGATGGTTATTTTCTACACAAACATATATATAAATATATGATCTTGACCAATGTATTTGTCTTTTTTTTTTCTTACCATTTACTAATGAAGCTCAACAAATCATATATTTAATTTTTTTGGGTTAGAAGATATAGATTGCTGAATCATTATGTCTTTCCTGCATAGATGTGTACATATGTTTTTTTGGTATTGCTTACAGCTTGTGGAAGTGTTAAGGTACATTCATAGGGCAAAAACATTGTGTTAGGAGCGTGCTTCAGATACTTTCCAATTGGTCATTGTGAAAGGGGAGGTAAACAACTTACTGGTTGATTTAATGCTATTTATTATGTAGTGTAATTTTCATACAACAGTATGAGAACTCCCCTTATTTTGATAAAATTATTTTCACTAACCATCATCAGTTTCTGCTATTGGATTGCTATAAAGTCTCAGTAAATTATATTTTCAAATGAGGGGTTTTTCCATTGTTCTCCTCTTCTATTTTATTTTTGTTTGTTTCTTGGTTTGTATATGGGTATTATACTTTTAAATTTATATGTTTGTTTCTTGGTTTGTACATGTGTATTATACTTTTAAATTTATATGTGTGCATGGAATTGAATGAATTTTTGCCTCACGAGGATATGTAGAGTTTCAGCAGGAATATCATCATGAAATGAGAGATGAAGAGTGTAATCCTTTTCTGATTGAGATTATCCTTCCAATTTCATACTGATTGAATAAATATCTTATCAACTTATTATATAACTTTCAACAGATAATGTTTCTCAATTGATTTAGGATTGATCTTCATATATTAGCTTAATTGATAGTGCTTTTGATCTTACTTGAGTTAAAAGGATTATGATCAAACTAATTAACCTTAAATATAATGCTAATGATTCAACTTGGATTATTTAAGTAACTTGATTGTCCTTAATCCACATGGAAAAAGATTTATGGTGTTTTTGAATCATATAATTTAATAAATCTCTCTGCATGCTCCATAAGGAAAAGTTCAACCAATGTAGCTATAGCAAACATTTAGTTAAGGATATAATTTATAAGAATTCAACGCATTTAATACTCTAACATTACTTTCAGAATAGTCTAGCTCGTGCATTTGCACGGGCAAAGACTAGTATTGAGGAAAAGGTGCATTGCTTTATAGTTCATTTGGCAGGTGAAATGAAAAGGGGCATGCACTGCACTTTATACAAATTCATTGTGTACTATGAGATTGTTAATTTGACAAAGCCCCTCGTAGAAGTTTAAGCAAATTTGATAAAATTTGATGTAATGAGTGTTTGAAAATTTAATAAAGTTGTAAGTTCTATGAAATGTGTGATTAAAATTTAGGTTTGGCCAGTTCAAAATTTAATTAAAAAAATTAGAAAATTTTTGTCAAACAAGCACCAAATTACGGTGATCAATTAGGAAGTGACCTTTCCTATGGTATTCACAATGGAAAAGAAATGGAACATATATACCATAACTAATGTTATGGCAAGACTCCTTGCCTACCAATTTATTCGTGGGACCTTAGATGAACCTACCAAATTATTTCACAAAATATGCAATGTAGTGATTTGTTTTCAAAACTTTGGTTGTAGAGGTGGGAAAATAAATGTGGGTTGATAACAAGCCAAGTCAATGAATGAGGCTCAATCCCTTCTAGAAGGCTTCTATAAAGTTATTTGATAGAAAGATAGCTTTGTCCCATTTTTTTATTCGACATTATAGATCATGCAAATCACATTTTCGGACTTACATTATTATATTACTCAGTTGGAAAAATTGTTTCGGAGAAATAATGAACCCCACTTTCTTCAACAACGTTAGTGAATAAATTCAACAAAGCCTTGACCCTTAACAACATTAATACTTTATCTTTAGTATAAAATACATTCTAGCTATTTTGATTGAATTTTCATACGGACAGTAGATAAGTAATGGAATTAACCGACGAGTCAATAAATTTGCAATTTAGGTAATTTGCACAATTTTGACTCCAATGATTTTGCTATTTAGTTAATTAGCACAATCTTACCCTTAAATAAAGGCCATAAATTAGAAAGAAACATTGCCCCTTCCTTTGCTGAAGAATGATTTATGTGTTCCTTGTAATTGAAAGAACATTTGTACATGCCAAGAAAGAAAAAAATTTCTTTCCATCCTCTTTTGCTTTACGTCCTAAGAACTCTTGATCGTCGTTTTAGGACTTTCATTAAGGTATAAAAATAGTTAATTCATTTTGAAATGATTTTGGGTATAATTGCAATAGAGGCTCCAAATCTTTCAAATACTAGCATACTTTTCCCAAACCTTTTTAAACGTTGTAGGTGAGGCCCCAATGGATGGAAAACATTCAATTTATCGTTAGCTGACCAAAAAATTGAGTTTGATCACATTTTTAATATTTTTATAAAGGGAAAAATAGTAAACTTCTATTTACCAAAATAAATAAAAACATTAATTAAATTAAACATTTCTTTTCGTCCAATCCTTTGTTTACTCATTCAAATGTAGTAAGTTCAAAATTTACTCTGGTATTGTCCAAAATCTGGTGACTAGGACAAAGGCACTTTAATTTGCTGATAAAATAGCAGGCAAGCCATTTCTGAGCCTGTTTGCGGTTGTTTTTTTTTGAACAATTTGGTATAGTCAGCTACACAATCTGGATTTTTTCTTCAGCATAAGAACAATAGTTGTCATATTCGAGAAATCAAAGATAAACCTTATTACAATATACTCAACCCTTATATAAAGATTGGAAGAAATCAAATAATGAACTCTACCAACAATAATGCTAATCGTACAAATTCAGTGTAACTTTAATTGTTAGGTCCTAACGGTAATTGGCTATTCTCGTGTCCAAAATCACGAGTCATTGAGTTGTAATTAAAGTCAAAAGAGTCCTAAAAGATGTTCTTTATATCGAGAATATTTAGTAAAGGTCCGTTTGATTACAAGAATGAAATTTGAATGGAAAGAAAACAAATGTTAGAGAATTGAATTGTCTATAACTTGTTTGACTAGGAAATGCAAATTAAATGGTTTGATTGGTATACTTCATCATCTGAGAAATGTTGAAATTTTGGATATTTTGGTGTTCGTTTGACTTTATTTTCCATGAAAATTGTCAATTAAATTGATAGAATTTATTTTCATTGCAAAAAAATAATAATAATAATAATAAATAAATAAATAAATAAGTTGGAAAACCAAAAACCACCAAACCCATGGGAAAGCCAATTCCTCAAAAAGTGGAAAACCTAGGCACATGGAGTGAAGGTGGAAAACCAATTGGCAAGAAAATTTGGCCAATAAAGCATGCAAAAAAATAAAAAATTCCTCTAATCGAACAAGCCAGAAGACTAGTTCGTTTTCAAAGGAATAAATCGTTATGCTCGGAAAGATAAACAAGTACATTTCATGAGACTATATGCATAACTACAATGTCATCTTCTACCAAAGAAACTTGTATCCCTAAATATCACTAGAACCTAAGTGCTCTTGCTCTTGTATAATTGATTTTTGAGATGACAACTTGTTCATTAACTTGCTCTTCTTTCAATTATCATTGTAATTTTATCATAAGTCCTTGGTTTAAAAGAAATTATACCCTTGTTTTTAGTTAAATGGAAAAAAAAATAGCTAAAAGAAAAATAGATCCATCTAATTGGTGGTTACGGACATTGCATATATCAACTTACCAAGCTCTAGGCAATCATTCTTCCCCAACATCATTTTTATGTAACTTCGTACAAGTCACTGAACTTTCGTGTGTCAAACTAATCAATTGTCATCTACAACACTTCTTTGAACTAGTTCATTTAAAAACTTGAGCAATTTTGACTACTTCTCCAAGCTGCAACTCTACAATCTCTTCGTATTTTTATGTTTTTCTTAAAGGGAAAACAGAGGAGTTCTCGATAGATGCACTGAAGGAAAATCATTTTTTGTGATTGGAAAAAAAAAATCCTAAAAAGTGGAAGAACCATGGCAAATTAATATGTGACGAATCAAATATATGAATGCTTAAAGTACAAAGTAGCAAAGGATATAATGTCAACAGAATAAGGCTTATTACATAGATTTCCCATACAAGAATTAACAAATATTATGCTAATCTTACAAAATTAGCAAAACTCAAATCTACATCGATCTTTATGCTAGAGAATCAGGCTTTGAAAAGCCACCATGTATTAACTTTTTCCCTTTATTTATTACCAATACAGTATCATCTCGCACCACCCATAGGTAAAGTAATATGATCTCTGATGCTATCAAATCCGGTGCGTGCGCTATTACCCTCACCATTTGCTAAGGTATTCATTTCAACAGAAAGAAGGGATTCCTTCTCTTCTGCATAGGGTTCAGTTTGCTCCCATGAGTGTCTTGCTGATAGTCTCAAACCTTCAAGTTCCATAGCTACTTCCTTCATTCTAGGTCTATCCTCCCCTTTCACATGTAAACACCTTCTCACAAGCATAGAAACTGCTATTAACTGCTCACTGTTTCCTTCACATATATTATTATCATCAAGAATTTGGAATAAGCGGCCTTGCTTCAGTGTGGAAAGAAAATAGCTGGCTAAATTTCTCTCCTCCTCTGGCCGGTCGTAGCTCAATGCCTTTTTTCCTGTTAATAACTCCACAAGGACTACTCCGAAGCTATAAACATCATTTTTCTCTGTCAATTGGTTCGTTTGCATGTACTCAGGGTCTAAGTATCCAAACGTTCCTTGCACCATGGTAGATAATTGTGTTTGATCTAGTGGAACCAGTCTTGATGCTCCAAAATCAGATACTTTTGCTGTGTAACTGCTGTTTAAAAGAATATTTGCTGATTTGACGTCTGACGCCGGGTAGGATAGTGATTATCCTATTGGCTTGTTGTAGCAGATGATTCGCAAGAAAAGAACGATAGAAAACGCCCAAAAAACAGAGAAAATACTCTGATTTCAACTCAATATTATTAATAATGCAGAATGCTGAAAACTAAACCACAAGCCGGGTTAAATAGCTGCGAAATACAAAATTATTGGAAAATTACCAAAAATGGCAAAATCCCGAAATTATAACAAAATAAAATATTAAGTAAAAGAAGTAAGTTGTCAAAAATTTGGCTTAATTCAAGTTCTCTAACATATAGAAAAAAGGAAACTAAATATTACCAGAAATAGTTTTTAATTTGGCTTGATCGAATGGTCTTCAATTTTAAAAAAATCTCACAAACTATTTTTTTTTTCCACAATCAAATCTCATCTCCTCGTCTTCATATTATTTAATAACATCACTATTGTAACTCTAATTAAAAGGAGTGAAAAAGGATGGGCACATTTTTGTATTCACAAAAGCGAAGAATTTAGTTTTAAAATGAAAGTTCAATTGATTCATTTCTAGATTAAACCGATACGTTATTCATTTAGTATTGGAATCTTGCCATCTAGCCACGACAAATGAATACATGTTAAATATATGTATAGAAAAAAATCATCATGATTTCTTTCAAAGAGCCAGTGAAACATAGAAGTCTACGATATGACTTAGTCCATTTCTACAATAGGCACTACCGTATATGTCAAGTCATTATGATTAATACTTTCACAACAAATGATGCTCATATCATCATACGTTGGTTTCTTACTTACTGACCCACCTCAACAGTAAGAAATGAAAGTTTTGATAACGAGGTGACAACTACGCATATTTTAGCCTAATCAAACCATGTATTTAGTTAAATAACCTCCACCAAATCTTCTTCATCAAATGGTCTTCAATTTTGAAAAAATCTCACAAACTACATATATATGTAGACACATATACATACATATATCTATATGTATATGTATGCACACATGCACGCGCATACATACATACATACATACATACATACATACATACATGTGTGTGTGTGTGTGTGTACACAAAAGGAAGAATTTTGATCTAAAAGGAAGAAGGTTTTGTTGATTCATTTCTGGATCGAATTGATACATTATTCATTTAATATTGAAATTTTGCAATCCAACAATGACAAATAAATACACGTTAAATATATGTATAGGAAAAAATCATCGTGATTTCTTTCAAAAATCCAGTGAAACAATAGAAGTCTACGATATGACTTAGTCCATTTTTGTAGAAGGCACTACCATATATGTAAAGTCGTGATTAATGCTTTCATAACGAATGAGGCTCATATCATCATACATTGGTTTCATAATTATCGACCCACCTCAACAATAAACAATGAATTTTTTAATAACAAGGTGACAACTAGGCATATTTTAGCCTAGTCAAACTGTTTTACAGCATTTGTTTAAATAACCTTCATAAAGTGTTTCTTGATCGAATAGCGTTCAATTAAAAAAAAAAAAAAACTCACAAACTATTTTTTTAATCAAATCTCATCTCCTCGTCTTCGGATTGTTTAATAACATCACTATTGTAACTCTAATTAAATGGAGAGAATAAGGATTGACACATTTTTGTATTCACAAAAGCAAAGAATTTGGATCTAAAATGAAGGTTCACTTGATTCATTTCTAGATCAAACTAATACGTTATTCATTTAGTATTGAAATCATCATGGTTTCTTTCAAAAAGCCAGTGAAACACAGAAGTCTATGATATGATTTAGTCCATTTCTATTGTAGGCACTACCATATATGTCAAGTCATTATTAATACTTTCATAATGAATGAGTCTCATATATCATACGTTGGTTTCTTAATTGCTGACCCACCTCAACACTAAGAAAATGAAAGTTTTAATAACGAGGTGACAACGACACATATTTTAGCCTAGTCAAACCATGTATTTGGTTAAATAATCTACCCCCAATGTTTCTTTATCAAATGGCCTTCAATTTTACAAAAATCTCACAAACTATTTTTTCCCTTAATCTCATCTCATCTCATCTCATCTCCTCATCTCCATGTTGTTTAATAAAATCACTATTTTTATTCTAATTAAATTGAGAGAAAAGAATTGGCACATTTTCCTAATCACAAAAGTGAAGAATTTAGATCTAAAATACAGAAGGTTTTGTTGACTCATTTCTAGATCGATTTGATACCTTATTCATTTAGTATTGGAATTTTGCAACCTAGCCATGACAAATGAATACACATTAAATATATGTATAGGAAAAAAATTATCATGATTTCTTTCAAAAATCCAGTGAAAGAATAGAAGTCTACGATATGACTTAGTCAATTTCTAAAGTAGGCACTACCGCGTATGTCAAGTCATGATTAATACTTTCATAATGAATGAGGCTCATGTCATCATACGTTGGTTTCTTAATTATCGACCCACCTCAACATTAAACAATGAAAGTTTTGATAACGAGATGACAACTAGGAATATTTTAGCCTAGTTAAACCATGTATTTGATCTAATAACCTCCACCAACTGGCCTTCAATTTAAAAATAAAAAAATAAAATCTCACAAACTATTTTTATTTATTTTTTTTATTTTTTTCTGTCCATAATCCAATCTCATCTCCTTGTCTTCAAGTTGTATAATAACATCACTATTGTAATTCTAATTAAATGGTGAGAACATTTTTGTATTCACGAAAGCGAAGAAGTTAAATCTAAAATGAAGAAGCATCTGTTGATTAATTTATAGATCGAACTGACATGTTATTCATTTAGTGTTGGAATTTTGCAACCTAGCCATGACAAATGAATACATGTTAAATTTATGTACAGGAAAAAAAATCATCATGATTTCTTTCAAAAAGCCAATGAAATAATAGAAGTCTACCATATAACTTAGTCTAATTATGTAGTAGGCACTACAATATATGTCAAGTCATGATTAATACTTTCATAACGAATGAGGCTCATATCATCATACATTGGTTTCTTCAATATCAGCCCACCCCAACAATAAACATTAAAAATTTTGATAACGAGGGAGACAATTAGGCATATTTTTAAACTAGGTTGATTGGGACATCTAGGGTACTATGCATAAATTAGAAGTTCGTTTCTTAATTATTGGCCCACCTCAATAACAAACAGTAACAGTTTTGATAACGAGGTGACAACTAGACATTCTTTGAAACTAGTTTGGTCAAGACCTGTAGCATACCATGCATAAATTAGGAAGACTCGAGTCTTGCAATAGTGTTAATTATGGCTTATAAAATAGAGACTACATCTTTTGTAATGTGTATTTAGATGAGTCATGTCAATACCCCTTTGTGAAACTAGCCTAGCACATGAGTCATATGCTACTGATCGCCTTCTTGATTCCAAGTTCAGTGCTCATGAACTTGTATAAAAAATAGTGCAAGGCCTTTCTTATTTCACCTCCCAAACGTACAACACTAATGCCGAGTAGTGAAAACATGGGCTTTGCTTGTTGAACAGGGCCACATATCAACAGTTGGCGCCCAGCTTTATTCTGAAAACATTGCCCCTTAAAAAATTTCTATTGTGGTGGCGCCCAGCATTAATCTGAAAACATTGCCCCTTAAAACACTTCCAAAGGAGACTTTTTAGTCAAGATAAGATGTTCATTGACTTAGCCGAAGACTTACAAACTATATAAGAAATCATCTTCCAAACGTTTTTGTACAATGCTTAGGTTGTAATTCTGTTACTGCAATACAATCTGGGAAAGAGAATTATAACTAAATTCACCATGGGATCGTATATGCTTTTGCTGCAAGCCCACTTCTTTCTAGCAATGCTGCTTATTTTTGTCACAAAATCACAAACAAATTTCCAAATAGCAAAGCCCAACTGCACGGATCGTTGTGGAGATGTAAGTATTCCCTTCCCCTTTGGCACAGGGAAAGGTTGTTACCTTAGTGAAAGATTCTTAGTCGCTTGTAATCACACCGGTGATCCTCCTAAACCATTCTTGAACAACACAAACCTAGATATCGCAAACATATCCCTGGAGGGTCAATTGACTATGTTTCCATTCATACAGAAAGACTGTTATGATAGGAAGGGCACCAGAGTATTCCATAACAACCCCTATATATATTTTGAAGGATTCACAGTCAATAATACGGCAAATAAGTTAACTGTTGTTGGTTGCGATACTTATGGTTCTGTACTTGGGAGCCGGAATACCAAGAGTGATTACCAGACAGGGTGCACTTCCACGTGTGCAAGGAAGGATGATCTGGAGGAACGGTCATGTTCCGGTGTAGGCTGTTGCCAGGTGTCTATCCCAAAAGGGGTGTGGGATGTTGAGTTGACGTTGCAGAGCTTTTCTAATTTCACAGATAGCTATGATAATCACACCACCACTCTGTGGGACTTCGATAAATGCAGCTATGCATTTCTTGCAGAGGAAAGTGCATTCAATTTTTCTCCAAATAGTCTTTCAATTCTGAAGAATGTAGAGACGCTTCCCATGATGGTTGACTGGGCAATTGACGGAGGAACATGTGAGGAGTCTCAGAAGAACATGTCTAGCTATGCCTGTAAAAGCACGAATTCCAGTTGTAAAGGAACCGATAATGGGTATCGTTGTTATTGTTCAGAGGGTTATGAAGGGAATCCATACCTCATTGATGGCTGCAAAGGTATTAAAGTTTGATTTCCTGTGCATTATCTTGAAATACATCATGAATTGTTTAGCCACGTGTCTTTTAAGATTTTAAATTCGCCTTTTTCTTTCCTTTAAGTTTTTAATTCGCTTTCTTTCATATTGTTATTTCTTTTACACAGATATTGATGAATGTAAAATTCCAAGACTCAACAATTGTGTATACCGATGTGTAAACACAATGGGGAGTTTTAAGTGCGTTTGTCCGAAAGGTTACAATGGAGATGGGAAGAAAGATAGACAGGGTTGCTTTCGTGGCCAATCCCTTGTATTCAGACTTGTTGCAGGTTAGCTAAGCCCTCCATTCATTACATTTCGCCCAGGATTTAGAATTATCGTCGTCGATGATCCATGTTTCAAGCTGGGTGATTTTACAAAACAAGTCTTCCATTGAAAGTACACTCCCTAAGTCTATCGTCATACTTGATGAGGATGTCTATCATGATACTTATTATGACAACGACATTTCCCAAAACTCACATAAAATTGACTTGAAAGGGTTGAGTGTTCATGTAGCTATAAACCTACAAACCAATTCTTAGCTTAGGGACTGCCTGGGAGTTTCGGAGTATCAATTAGTAGCGATTTTTAAAAAAATTGTCCAACCTATACTTGGGAGTTCATTATCCGTCGATTTTGAATGTTTTTTAAAATAATAGATTTAAATATATTTCTTCTAGTACAATTTTCAATTTATAGTTTCTTGTATGAATTTTTTTTACTTACAAGTGATTTTAGGGAATTTTTTACATATAAGTTAATATTTAACTTCGAAAATTTAATAAAGTTAAATATTTAATTAAAATTATAAGTAACTTTATATATTATAAGTGAATTTTTATCTTATTAGTTGTATTTTTATTTTATAAGCAATTTTTTTAACACAAAAATAATCTTTTAATTGTAACGTAATTTTTCTTATTTTCTAAGTAATATTTTGCTTATAAGAATCTTTTTTTTTTTTTTTTTAACTAAAATGTAATTTTTTGCTCATAAATAATGAATATATTTTTATTTACAAGTTAATTTTGAAGAAAATATGTTGGTTAAAAATAATTATTTTATAGAAGGTAAAATTAGAAGAGAATATGAGAAATGGCCAAAACCTGTCGATTTAATATGTTGAGAGAATCGACCAAAATTACACTATACCAATTTTGGATGATTTTTAAACCATTCAAAATCGGTGCCTAAAACAATTCGTAAGCACGGGTTTTTCAAATCCTCCTAAATGGTGCCACTCAACCACATGGTACCAAAGGAATATTGCTTTTAGTATTAAAGTATCATTTATACTAAATTGTCTAAACTGATGAACATTGGTATTTAGCTTCCCTACATCACGTCACGTGTACCTTTTACTCTCTAGCTCATTTGTTGAATATAAAGGAAGAGGCTTGAAACTAACCTAAAATTTCCACTACAGGGATTTCTCTAGGAATTACGGTTTTTGTACTTGTTGTTTGCTGGTTGCTCTCAATACTCAATAGAAGAAAGTTGAACACAATGAAGCAAAAATTCTTTCTTCAAAATGGTGGCTTATTGTTGCAAGAAAAACTTACGCAAAGACAACAGTCACCAATTATGGCAAAGATATTTACTTCCGCCGAACTCAAGAAGGCAACAAACGACTTCCACGACAGTAGAATTGTTGGTCAAGGAGGATATGGCACTGTATACAAGGGCTTGTTAGCAGATAATCGACTAGTTGCCATCAAGAAGTCCAAAGAAGTTGATCCACATCAAGTCGAGCAATTTATCAATGAGGTGATAGTTCTTTCCCAGATCAACCACAAGAATGTTGTCAAGCTCCTTGGTTGTTGTTTAGAAACGCAAGCTCCTCTGCTAGTCTATGAATTCATAGAAAATGGATCCCTTTTTGAACACATACACAATAAAACAAAGGCGCGTTCTCTTTCTTGGGACATACGATTAAGAGTTGCTACAGAAACTGCTGGAGTGCTAGCGTATTTGCACTCTATAGCTTCCCCTCCAATCATACACAGAGACATCAAATCAACAAATATTCTTTTAGACACTAGTTTCACTGCAAAAGTGTCTGATTTTGGAACATCAAGATTGGTTCCACTGGATCAAACTCAATTATCTACTATGGTGCAAGGAACCTTTGGATACTTAGACCCTGAATACATGCAAACGAACCAATTGACTCAAAAAAGTGATGTTTACAGCTTTGGAGTAGTCCTGGTCGAGCTACTAACAGGAAAGAAGGCATTAAGCTATGACAGACCAGTAGAGGAGAGAAGTTTAGCCAACTATTTCCTTTTAGCACTAGAGCGAAGCTGCTTATTCCAAGTTCTTGATGATAATATTAAATGCGAAGGAAAGAGTAAGGAGTTAACATCAGTTGCTATGCTTGCGAAATTGTGCTTACTTGTTAAAAGGGAGGATAGACCTAGTATGAATGAAGTAGCTAAGGAACTCGAAGGTCTGAGATTAGCAAGGAAACACTCATGGAACCAAACAGAACCCAATGAAGAAGAGTCTGAATCCCTGCTTTCTGGGAAAATGAAAGCCTTTGCAATTGCAAATAGTGATGGTAGTAGTAGCACAGCTATTGGATATGAAAGCATCAGAGATCATATTATTTTACCTATTGGTGGTGGCAGATGATCTGTAGCATTAGAATCGATGTGGAGTGAGGTTATATAGAATTGGCAATGTAGCGTTACTGTTGTTGGGTTAATTTATGATTTTATCTTTTGTAATTAGGTTCTTAATCTATAAAATATGGATGTGGATTGAGGTTATACTGAACTTGCAAGATTAGCGATACTATTGTTATATTGGTATATGACTTTTTATATGGTTATGATATGATGTCTTATTTTATTGACAGTATTCTTTGTTAATTAGTTTCTAGTATAAACATTTACTGTTTTTGAAATTCTTATATAGCTTTCATTTGGCATGGATTTTCTTAGAATAGGCGAAAAACCGTTTTATTTTTATTTTAGAGTTGATTTCCACAACTGGAAACTTTTCAACCTTATTCTTCTTTGAACAATGTTTGTAACCAATTGATAGTTTCCAATACTTTTTCTCTCACCTTATATGTAAAATAAGAAAGCATCCAAACATGGTCAATATTGTGCTAAAAATTCTTCTAATTTCTTCCTAATCATACTGAATAAACCATGGTCCCCTTTGGTTTGGCGTAACCAGCAGTATCGTTATCTTGGAGTCCAACTGAATCCATAGTTCCTATATACCCTTGCAAGATACAATTTTAATCCGCTTAGTTTCAAACTTCTGCCTCAGTGCTTGTCCCCATTCCATAGTTCAAATGATTGCTCTAAATAAAAATGATGCTCTTATGTGTAATAAAACTAGAAAGTAAAAAAGAGAGAGCTTAAGAAAGTGCAGAAATCTTAAACCTCAATGTTTCATGTAGTTTAATATTAAGTCAAAAATATATGATAAAGAAAGATTTTATTAATTTCTAGAAGAGAAAAATAATGTTTGTTTTTATCAAGAATTTTGGGTGTACATTATTCAAAATCAACCATACTTATGCTTTTGTACAGGGACAAAGGATGAACTGGAATTACCAGATGGTGCACTATCATGTGTGTTGAGTTTTTTGATACCCAATAATTCGGACGATGATTTAAAACAGTTGTCGGATTATTTATCGATACCATGGACTTGGCTCGGCTCGGAGACGAACTATACTTTTGGATGGCTCGGGTTTGGGTTGGATGATTATTTGGTTAGTTGGACCATTTAGTGATTAATATGGAGTTAAAAATTGGCCCATTAGTTTAGGTTAATTGGTAGCCCTCTTAGTGAACCCTAAGCCCCATTGGAGTGACCTAAACTATTCCTAGATATATCCATCTATTCCAGCAGTTTTCAGTGTGGGTTATTGAATGTGCAATGGTGAGTGAAAGGGGACAGCCGGTCTTGGGGAAAAAGGGAGAGAGATTTTCCACCATTGTTGTCCATTCTTTCTTCCATTGTAGTCACCACCACGTGTTCTTTGTGGACACTAAATAGAGAGCCATTGGAGAGGCAAAAAGGGCTGTCCAAAGTGAAGGCGAAAGTCTTGGGTCGAGCCAAGGTAAATCAGTGTTCGTTTGATTATTTTCTGAGCCCAAAATCAAGATTTATCGAGGGATTTTCACTGCAAATGGTATCAGAGCTTGTGTTGTTGATAAATCTTTGATTTTTAGGGCTAAAAATGGGCTAGAAGTGGTTAGAAACAGATCTGGAAATCAGAGGCAGAAACTGTCTAGTTTTTCAATTTTCTGCCGGATCTATTTTGGCGTTTTCTGGTAAATTCAAAAAGAATTTGGAGAAACGAACACCGCCATTGGACTGTGCAGATTGAGACGGTTCAGGAAGGGTGGCGCATGGCCGTCTCCGACGCCGGTGTTGGAGGTGCATGAGGAATATGGCACCGGCGCGTGGAGGTGCGTGAGAGAGATTCCGGTGAGGGTTCCAAAAGACAGAATGTTGTCGGAGATGAGATGGACCCTGCTGTGTTTTCGGATTTCAGTTTGGAGCAATACAATGAAAGTTGGACGATTTTGCCCTTGGACGTTCGGGCGCCGGGTGCTGTTTTCATATTGCTGTGGTTGCCGGTGACTTTAGGATGAACAGTGATATTCCTAAAGTCGTAAATTCACATGTCTCGATATTTACGGACCTTCAGACGTGGTCCGCTCGGTATCGTATTCTTTACCTTTTATTATTGCAGTTAAAATTAATGTATAGGTTAATTATTTATTTTGCGCATTAGAAGTCATTGTGTGATGTGACGTTAGGTTTGGAGTTACCGTGAAGGGGGTAATCATTGCCTATTTTTAGACATAGAAATTACATGTTAATTAATTGCCTTAATTCTATGTAAATTTGTCACCAAATTTTTTTTATTTTTTTATTTTTTTTACACCGATAGAATTGGATTTGACCTTAGGAAAGTTTACTTGACTATTCTGTGTGAATCATGCACCAATACTTTGCTTGTGGTCATTATTTGGTATTATTGACATGTATAAGTCTAAGGCAAGTGCGAAAAAATAAAATATGTTTTAACTGTGATAAAATTTGGGCATAGTCGAAAGAGATTGTTCTAGGATGATAAAAGGAAAGATGAGGATAGAGACGAGGCGAATGTGACTTTAGGGTCGAGTAGTGATCCTAGTGAGGTTTATTGAGAGAATAAACCTGGTTACCGCATTGCGTCAGTGTGTAATCCTTTCTGCATGTATGTGGTCACTTAATTTTGTTGCAATATTGATGTTACACTTTCAATATGTTTGATGTGTGTAATTGCATGAATTGAGTGTGATCTTATTATTTTGTGTATTGTGTTTGCATGCATAGTGGGGTTAAGTTTTGTGGCGTACTCTATTTGCTCTGTGAGTGGTGTGAAAGTGTGGTAGTGAGAAAAAAGTTGGACAGCCATTTCTCTCCTTTATCTTCGTGAGCATGTATGGATTGTGAGATTATATGAGACAGCCATGTTAGGGTTATATTCTTCCTCTTTGTGAGTCTTCTTTGTGAGTGTTGTGAAGTAACCGACTCTTTCTTCGATTTTTCTTTGTGAGTGCCACCTTCGCCGTTTTCTTTGTGAATTTTTGGAGCTTTGGTTATTGGAGAACCTTTGTGGTCATCGAAAGGTGCTGTTTTGCCGCAGTGAGTTTGTGATGCATTAGCAGTGAGTTGGATGTCTTTTGGTAAGGTGGAGTATAGACGCCTAGAGGTGCATTGGTGATCTGCACGGGGGATGTGGAGTGTGACATTTGGATCATGAGTGGAGATGTGATCAAATGTGTAGAATCCTTTATTTGTGAAAGAGATCCTGATCAGGTGGAGTGTGAGAGAGGCACTTCTATCACTTCTGTAAGGTGGAGTTCCATTATCCACGTAGGTTGGGAGAAGTGATGTAGTGATAGAGGATTATCTCGAGAGCTTAGGATCTATTGTGATTTATCAGTTAGACATGAGTTGAGTGATCTGTTTAGTGAGCATGATGGGTGATGAGAGGAGATATGTGTTCTCGAGGTGTGAGCAACATTGAATGGAATAGGACAAGTGTGGCAAGATCTTTTCTTAGGGTCATTTATGCATGTGTTGCATATGTGGTTGACCGTGGTTTGATTAACTAGGTGTTAATCTGTGGTTCTATGTGAAAATGATTTTGAAAAGATCTCTGTGTGTGTGTTATCATATATATCTTCATCGCATGATTGTTTGTTCATTGTGAATACTTGTTTCTACTTGAGTATTCTTGACCTTAGCCCTGGTGAGTACATGGAACAAGTATGGTATGTGTTTCGGTTCGAAACACGAGATAAGGTCTATGATTCCAATTTTATTAGATTACCTTGATTGTTCAAGTATAAACTGTGTATTTTGGTTGGTTGCAGATTATTGGACATCAAGGTAGAGATTGTTAGGTTTTTTGATACCCAATAATTTGGGCGATGATTTAAAATAGTTGTCGAATTATTTATCAACACCGTGGACTTAGCTCGGCTCGGAGACGAACTACACTTTTGGACGGCTTGGGTTTGGGTTGGATAATTATTTGGTTAGTTGGACCATTTAGTGATTAATATGGAGTTGAAAATTGGCCCATTAGTTTAAGTTAATTAGTAGCCCACTTAGTGAACCCTAGGCCCAATTGGAGTGACCTAAACTATACCTATTTATATCCATCTATTCGAGCAATTTTCAGTGTGGGTGATTGAACGTGCAATGGTGAGTGAAAGAGGGCAGCCGGTCTTGGGGAAAAAGGGAGAGAGATTTTCCACCATCGTTGTCCATTATTTCTTCCATTGTAGTCACCACTGCGTGTCCTTTGTGGACACTAAATAGAAAGCCACCGGAGAGGCAAAAACTGCTGTCTAAAGTGAAGGCGAAAGTCTTGGGTCAAGCCAAGGTAAACCGGTGTTCGTTTGATTTTTTTTGAGTCCAGAATCAAGATTTATCAAGGTATTTCCGCTACAATGTGTAACAACGAGAAAGATTTGGATGGCGGTTTGTTTTCTGGTTAAGGATGTTGCCAGACGACTATCCAAGAAAGAGGTGCAGAGAGTGAAAGTAACATTAAAAAGCTATGAAAATCACACAAATGTGAGGGAATTCAATAGTTGCAACATGTTCCTATGTTTTCTTTCTGAGTAATGTGAATTCACATTTTCTCTGAGCATTCTTTCCGGCATGAGGAATGTAGATAAGCTTCCTATGGTGGTTGATCGGGCAACTGGGAATGGAACATGTGTTAGGTTTGGTGACACAAATGTTTTAGGATTATTGTTGATTTAGAATTTGATCGAGTGGAATCCTAGAAATTGGTTAGGAGTTGAAGATGCTTGCTAGACTTTTACTTGGAAAGGGAATCTAATTGCATCCAACAAAAGGAAATAAAATCCTGTTAAAATTGGGTCTCCTAATTGTAATATATTTTCTTACCTTTTAGGGCTCTTCTAGGGTTGGCCTATAAATATAATGCTCCTCTGTTAGTTTTATTAGGTGCAACAGATAGAAGCCAATTGCTGGATTGCTTTGTATTCTCCATATTGTTAATTCAATGAACATCTTTCCTCCGCGTTAATCTTTTTATTCCTCTTTACAATTTCAACCTTGTTTCGTGGTGTGATCTTATTTACTTCAATATTGTCATATAATATTGTTCTTTAAAATCTGGTTTGGAATTATCGTGTGTTATTGGAGCTTCCATGCCCAACAAGTGGTATCAGAGCTAAGCTATTGATTTTCTGTCGATTGGTTGAGATTCTTTTGGGGTGGCTGGGTTGAAGTATGATATTCCGCAAT